AACAGACCTCATGTCTTCTGTCTTTTAACCTCTCTTAATGACTAAGCTCATCTTGAAGAACAGCTGGGTTGATTGAAACAACAGCGAGATTCATGGGATTTTGACAGAGTTCAGAGCACGTTTCAATATCCGAGGTAATCAGCATTTAATTCGGATTAGAATTTTCATTGGACTTCCTGATTTTTGGTAAGATCATTTGGCAATGTTAATGATGACATACCATAATTAGAAATAACATTAATTAGGCTGACAGTCATGTGCCAATCAATCGAAAATCATCCCGATTTGTGTGTTTTCTCGATTCGCAAGCATTTTGCTTCGTTTAACGTGTCGAATTCGCCGAATAGTCAAAATTGGACAAATTAATAGTGCATTTAGGATATTGCCGATATCTCGATCGTGATGGCGTTGTCCGTTTCGTGATCAGACATCATTTGGGTGGCGACGAGACTTAATTCCTTCAAAATGCTCGTTGTCTCGATTTGCGTGCAAAATCTCATTCAAACAAACTGGCACTACATCCATAGTATTGACGGTGTTTTGGACCCAATGATGCAGTCCGTTTTGCGATCGAACATCGTTTGATCATCGTCGAGGCTAATCTCCCTCAAAATGCGTGCCTTTGCAACGTATTTGAATCGCTTTTGAAATTTACGATGCTACCTTAAATGATCTAATTTAATCAAATAAAATATATATTACTAAAGTCGATGACGTTCCGGACGTAATGGAGCTGTCCGTTTGTCGATCGGACATCGTCCGAGCATCTTCGAGGCCTCGTTTTCTTCATAACGCATGCCTTCATATCATATTTGAATTGCCTAAAAAATTCATCACCATCTTAGACGATCCAAATTTATTAAATAAAATGTGTATTCTAAATGTCGGCGATGTTCCGGATGCAATGAAGCTGTCAGTTTGTCGATCGGACGTTGTCCGAGAGTGTTCGAGGCCTCGTTTCCGTCGTAACGTAGGTCTTTTTATCATATTTAAATTGCCTAGAAATTTGCCGCCATCTCAGATGGTCTAAATTTATTAAATAAAATATATATCCTGAATGTCGACGACGTTCCGGACGCAATGAAGCTGTCCGTTTGTCGATCGGACGTCGTCCAAGCGTCTTCGAGGCCTCATTTCCTTCGTAACGCATGCCTTCAAATCATATTTGAATTGCATCGAAATTCACGACGCCACCTCAGTTGATCCAAATTGATCACATAAAATATATATTGTGAATGTCGACAATGTTCTGGATGCAATGACGCAGTCCGTTTCGTGATCGGACGTCATGTCGTCTCCAAAGAGGCAAAATTCCTTGACATGCGCATTTTCACATCATATTTGAATCACTTCAAGATTTGCACCACCACATTAGAAGATCCAAATTAATTAAAAAAAATGTATATCCTTAATGTCAACGACGTTCCGGACGCAATGGCACTATCTATTTGTCGATCCGACATCGTTTGATCAACCTCGTGTATTAATTTTGTGTGTCGATCATCCCCTTTGACCGATCTCGTCCGATTCGACTACGAGAGACCTCGACCTAGCAGAATTCGATGTCCTGATCTTAACAACACCGTCCATTTGGCAATCGGAGGTCATTTGGCCCTTCAAGTGATGCATGACGCCAATGTGCTTAATGCTTTATTCACCAATTAGGGTCCTTTCTCGCGTGGTTTGAGGTATAGGTGTCAACAATGTTATTGTGTTTTAATTCATATCTATTTATATATGCCATATCATAGTTATCCTGATTATTCTATGAAGTGATATTGTTGTTTGATTATTAACTATTATGGTATAATTATTGTATCAAACTCTGCAGTGTTATACATGTTGGTTTACACCATGTCCGAAATTTGATTGAATCATGCTCAAATCATATTCGAATAGGATTATAACCTCTATTCAACCAAGTTCAAACTTTATTGAACATGATTACGAGCGGGGAGTGTTAAATCTCAACCCTACGATCCCAAAAATATCCACGGCTGTGAACAGTAATCCGTGGGAAGACTACATGGATTGCATTAATTCCTCCCACTAATTTAGGAATAATTGTATTTATGTTATTATTTGTTTCCTTATTGATACACCTTGCATAGATCTATAAATAGGGAGTTGATGGCTTAATAAAATTCAAGCTTTTCCTCTCGAATTCTAATTTTAACACTAATCATCCTAATACAACTCACACCAGCTAAAAACTCAAACTCCTAAAACTAAAACACCAAACAGAACTCTCAAAACTATTAAACAACTCCCCAATGCTCCTAGGCATGCTCCAAAGCAGCACAGACTATTGTAAACAAACGAATAAAAATCTGTATTGTAAACCAAAACTGCTGTGCAAGAAAAAAACTAGTACTCTAAACTATAGTGCATAAAAAGGAAAATAACCAGTGCTATAAACTAAACTACAGTGCTAAACTGAAACTAAAACACTGCTAAAACAAGAAAAAGAAACTACTAAAACCAAAAACACTAGTGTAACAGTAGTAAAGAACTGTAAACTAAAGTACATGTTGTCTAATCTACCTTAAACACCTAACAGGAAATTTCTAAGGGAAGTCGTATGACCTAGGTTGTATGACCTATCCAAACAAAATTTATAGGCAACTTCTAAGCGAAGTCGTATGACCTATTCAAATAAAATTTACAGGCAATTTCTAAGGGAAGTAGTAAGCCCTGCATTAAACAAAACCCATCGGCCACCTCACTTATAGGACTAGGTTGTGAGACACACCAATTGTCCACTTCTAAATGCAGAAGCCGTAAGACTTATCCAAATAACTAGGCAACTTTCAATAGAAGTCGTAATACCTATTATTTAGGAAGTTCTAAAAGAAGTATCAAACCCTCGACAAAAACAAACTGGGCCGCCTCACTTATAGGTCTTGGTTGTATGACTCACCTAACATTCAACTTTTAAATGAAATTATGAGACCTAAAATTTTTTTAAAACAAACTTCAGGCTTCTTCTAATAGAAGCAATAAGACTCACTTCGTAAACAAACAATCGGGCAACTTCCAATGGAGGCCATAAGCCCCGAATCAATTCAAACAACTGGGTAATTTTTAAACGAAGTCATAAATCTCAAACTAAATCAACTATTGAGAATTCTAATAGATGGAAACCCCAAACCACCATAAAACTACAACCCGCACCTCAACCACCTCAGTCTACTTGGGATCACTGAGAGGAGGCAACCTATGACTGCTAATCATATTTCCTAAACACTACGATCAACAATCACTAGTGTTAGTAGACTAAAATCTACGGTATTCTCGGGACGACGGAATTATAGGATCTTGATCGGGCTTACCTTTATCTCCCATAAATGATACTAAAACACTTGAAATTATTTATCCTTAATCGAGAATTCTCTCTTTTGCAATAAGAGGGGTAATTAACTATGAGGACTTGCACTCGCAAGAAAGATCCATGTCTAACTAAACCCTGATACCACCCTCATGAGAAATTTGATTAATTACAAACCACCTTAAGAAAAATACAATCTTAAGTCCACAAAATGGGATTCATACCGAAGCGTCATTTTTATTGAGCCAACACATTATATTGATTCAAAAGTAACATGAAAATTCACTTCAAAATAATTAGAGATGAACCAAATTATGATTCATTGATTTTATATATTAAATAAATATTAATATATTATAATTTGAGTTAGAACAAATCAAATTTCGAGTGAGCAATCGCAAGTCGCAACCTTAAGTAGAAACGTAATGAATTTCAAGTTAGGCAGTTGGTTGAAAACTCAACTCAAATTGGCTTGTGTCAATTTCAATTTGACAAAAAAAAAAGATTGATTTTTTTTTTAATTTCATATTTTCATTTTAGCCGCAAACCATATAGTGGGATAAAGGCTTGATGATGTTGTTGTTGTATTTTCATGTTAGCTCTATGTATATTTATATTTATTTTATTTCTAGACTCTCAATTTTATTTTAGAACCTTAATACAATCATACATCTTATCCCGCTTCAAATTTAGTTTAACTTAAAAAAATCATTTTGTTGTATAGCAATCCATCTTGAAAGATTAGTAATTTCTCACTTTTTAATTCCACCGTCTTATTGTGGGCAACTATTTCTTTGATTACATTTTTTTATACTTCAACGATATTTATTGTTAGTTACTACTCACAAATGCTTAAGCGGTATGCTTTGTGGTTCATATGGAAAATAATGTCATAATTCGAGTTCAACATTTTTTAAACTAAATATTCTTGAGCTCTTTACATAGAATTTTGTTTGTAACTAGCCTTATGTTGAGGTATAAACAATTCAAGTTCAAGTCAACCCTACCTTGAGCTCGACTATTTAATTAAATTTAAACTTGAGCTTGAGCTTAAACTAAACTCTATAAGTTCGAATCAACTTATGAGCATACTCGTGTTATGAAAGAAAAAAAAATCCAATTCAAATTATTATTGTAAAAAAATAATAAAAAATAAAAAATTAGGGGAGAAATAATAAATCAGTTGAAATAAGAATGAGATAGAATTTTAAAATAATTTTTAATAAATTTGTACTTCAAACCTTTGAATTCTTATTTATTTTAAATCTATTTTATATTAATATTCTTTGAACAAATTGGCTAATGAGCTGACAAGTCGATTCGAGGCTAGCTTAAACTTGGATTATTAGCTTATAAAGTTAGACTCACTAGCCATTTATTGAGCTGGTAGGTACACTTAGGTTAAGAGCGTCATATATATATATATATATATATATTCTTGCTCACAATGAAATCTTGTGATGTGGCCATTTATTTCTTTATTTAGGTTTCTTTTGGGATGACTTTCTTACTGCTTTTTAAAGCAGTTTTTTATTAAAAAATTTTAAGAAGCAGTAAGAAAGACGTCCCAAACGAAGGCTTAGAATAACCGTAATGGCTTGCTTATTGCAATGTTCTCCTCATTAATACTGCCCAAATTCAATATGCATGACACTTTATTCCTCGATTGCAGTTTCTTACTTCAGACAAGGAAATGCAGAAAGAGCAGTCTGTTGCACGAAAATCTGAATCCAATTCTATTCCTATTAGCTCATCGGAATCCTCCATCCCCCACAGAGGAGAATTCAGATCCTGTCAAGTGTTATCAAAATGCACTCAAACGCGCAGTTCTCATCTAAAGGAATCTGCTACTTCTGCCAAAAAAATTATAGGATCAGGAGATGCTGCTCAGGACATGCTTGAACTCTTCCTTGGTCCTCTTTTAAACAAAGCTCCTCCTGTAAAGGAGCCTGATCCTGATGTAACAAGAGAACTACTGGCCTCAACTTATGAATCAGATAGCCTTGTCAGAAGCTTTGTGGATGTTGCAAAACAGGTAACTTTTATTAAAAAGAAGAGTAGTCTTAAAGATAAAGTGGCCATGTTTTTTTGATTTCCTAGTCCAGCAATGCACAATCTTCAAAATCTGCTTCTATTTGAGCTATTTTTTTCTGTTGAGCTCCATATTTCAGGATTTCTACTGAAGTAATTTAAAATTATTACCTGTAATTTGGTTGCCAAGATGATGCCAATTATACATGTACAGATTGACATTTGTAACAACTTGTAGTATAGTTTTCATTCCTTGGATCAAATGTTTGCTAAGTTGATGATGATCATGGCACTTGTAGTGCATTAGATGTTTTTTTTTTCCAAATTATAGTCGTGTTTTCTTTCATTATATGTGAAATCTCATGGATCAAATATTCTATAAGAGGGATATGAATTTGTCTGTGGATGATACTCGGCCTTATTAGTAGGTAATCACTTGGTGATAGGTAAGGAGGATAGTGAGGTTTAAGGAGAGTATGAGTCTTAGGTTTATTGTAGGTAAGCAAGAGAGTGCCAAGAGATGTAAAATATTTCAAAAAATTATGAAGTCCCAAAATAATTGAAATTATGTTTCTTCACTCTTTATTTTTTAGGGCATGGAGGACTATAGAAAAAGTTTCGCTTAAAAATGTAAAAAAATAATACAAAGTATAATTTATTACTTTGTCCTTGAGGCTAGTGTATAGGGCAAGTTTGTGAATGCATATCCTCTATGTGGTGGTGAGCCCAATATGACATGATTCAAACTCATACAAGCAAAAAGATGAGCCTTGAATGGATAATGCTTGTGAGATGAAGACTACCTTAACTTGGAAATTTATAATTGTTGTTACAACCCGGGCCGATAAGCTTACATAGATGAGATGAGAATATTAAAGTCGGATGAAAATTTTTAAAACATTTTGCTGTAACATTTATAATAACCATCCACATAAATGTAAGAAAGAGCCACTAAAACATCAAATAATATTTTCTTTCATTAATAAACATGTACATAGTCCATTACAAAAAAATAGATATCCAACTATCACATGTCGTCCTACAAGTCAATCTATTACAAAGCACCAACATCATAAAAAGAACCTATAGGATAGTAGGTGAACGACTATCTGTCTGTCATTACTGATTAGCTGGTTCTCCTAAACATTTTCTCACAACTTGGGTGAGCCAACAATTATAGGTAATATGCTATTCAATTAAATTAAAATATAAGATAAGGAATGCAGTATGTATGTCAATATCTTAATTAAAAAATCAATAAACAATAAAAGAATCAATAAATTTGTCATGATATATTAACTAGTGTGCATATTTGTACATGTCAGCCTAGATGTCCTTAAGCCTATAACCTGTTTCATCATGCATTTACCTATAACATTTTTTTAATTCTTTTTTATGCTTTATATATATATAACATATTCTTATACACTTGTAGGACGATATTTGTATCATACAGGAATTTAAAAAAAAAAAATCTTTTACACTCGTAACGGAGTATCAATTTATATTGATCATGTACACATGTAATTGGTCATTTCTTTCATTATTAAACTGATCCGAGAAGCCCTTTACCTTCATATTTTCTTTACCATTTTGATACTTTGTACCAACATACACATTCAATCATATATTCGTTATCGTAGGGGAATAATTTCAACATGTCATTCATACATATATTTTTACTAAATGCTGTTTCATACATTTCTATATGAAGACTTTTAAAAAAAATACGCATTCTAAACTATTCACATGAGCAAGATATATTGCATTTAAAACATACTAGCTATTCAAATGATATCATAAGAAAACATGCTAAGCTAATCACATAATATCATAAGGAACATGCTAGAATAATCACATGAGATCATAAGGAAACATGCCAAAATTTGCAAAAGAAGAAAAATCCGAAATTAAAATAATCACATTTACCTACCTAATGGACGTGCACAATTCGTCGTTTATTCTATCGATGCCTTTTCCTCTCCCTCTTCTAAAAATCACAACTTGGAGGACCCAAGGTACAAGATGACAAGGACAACAGTGTGACTCCCCCAAGAAGCAATCCCTCAACCTCCTCCTAAGTGGATTGCACACTCTCAAAGCAAGGAGATACCTCTCCCTCTCTAAAGCTCTCTCTCTCATAGGAAAAAAATGTCTTAGGCTACTCGCATCCCCTCTCAATGTTCAAAAGAATTAAATTGACTATTTAAATCAAACCCTAGTTCTCAATTCCGTTGTTCTGATCGTACAATACAAAACTTACATCGTACTATCCAATTAGTTAAACACCCATTTTTCAGTTCTATTAGATTGGATTGTACTATCAACTATATCAAACCAAGGATCATCCAAGATAACTCTTGGTTCATCCATTAAATGCTCTCTTAAATTGTAATGGACAATCTGAATCATACAATATAATTTCCAATCATGATTTGAACTTGATACAATTGTTTGGTCAATAATTCAAATTAGACAATATTCATTAATAATCATGCAATATGAAAGATTTGCTCACTATAGCGATGGATCCACCCTTAGAGGGGAGAGATTATTTGGTGCGGAGTGCAGATGGGGAGAACCATCCGCACAAGTATTGGGTACCTAGCGGTATCCCACTCGGTACCGCTGGGTACCCAGTGCTTGTGCGGACGGTGCTTACTCCACATGTCACGCCTCAAGATCTAATTTGGAAAGAATGTCAATCAATTTCCCAAACAATTTACCAGAGTTATCTAAAACCTTCAATTCACAATCTATCAAACATCTATAAAATTTAAAACATCAATATACAAGTCGATTCATATCTCAAAAAGTCATGTACAATACTCAGGAACTACAATACAATCACCAGTACTGAAATCTATCCTGAGTACAAAAGAATCA